ATCACACGGCTTTTGTTATGTGTTGTCTGTTTGTAGCCGTTGATCGTTACTTTGTTTATTATTATTAGCAGGTGTCATATTCGGTGCACTTGTTAAGCCGGCAATGCTGACTGTGTGCTAGGGTGTTGGGTTAACTTGTACAAATGCATGGGACGAGTAGAAAAGTTATCTATTGGAGTAACAATGTTTTCATTAACACATTCTCCCACTTCATAAGCCACAAAGTGCTTGTCAAATCCTTTTATTGCAATTTCATTACATGCTATGAATAGTTTGTCATTAACTAACAAAAAATAGTTAATTTTGTAAATCTTAAAATCTTTGCCGAGAATGCCAATGTAATATTTTTGTTTATATATGGACATTTATGAGTTACTAGCTTATACCCGCGGGTTTTACCCCGCGCTTTTATACAAATAGGAAAAATAATTTAATGATGTTAGATTTTATTTCTGTGCCCATTTCGTTATAGCTCGTTATTTTTTAAGCAAGTTAAGCTATTTAGGCCGTTTAAAACTATGAAATTATAAAATCTCGTCTGCGCGCTAAGCATACGAAATATATCAATCCCTCTAAGTTTACCTCAAAATGGTTCCAGGTATACGACGCGTGAATGTGTAACCTTCTTGGAGGTGCCACGGCGGGTTCTAATATTTCCAACTCAAATTTAGTAACCTGGCCTTGATAAAATACCACTTCTCATTACTGTAGCAAATGCCTCAAGAGATCTTTAGATTATAAGGCCGAACACGGCTCTCCCTTTTCCATTTAATGAAATTTATTCTGTCGGTACGGCATTTATAAAATAAATCTCCATAACAAACTTAAAATACTTCGAGATTTTCTATCCTTCCAGAGATATGTATTAAGAAGTTTTTAGTATGTATGGGAGGCGACATGCCTCCTTTTTTAATAACTCACATTTTTATCACTAAAAAGCTAAAAAATGCTAAAGTTAAATGTAAATGTCAAGGAACAAGCAGCAGTGCATATTTAAATAAAGTTGATCTGAAACCCAACGAAAGCTAACTGGAGTTTAAACAGCAGTCCACAATTAAACTTAAGTGCCGTTTAAATATTCATTTGAAATTGGCCCTTAAGGCCCGTTTTTCAATGTCTGATTAACAAAAATCGGAGGAATAAGCTCCGGTTAAATACAACAACTGCTTTATCGATCACATGTTATATGCATGATATCGAATCGATACCGCACAAATGTACAAATCTTGTGATATTCACTTAACAGCTTTTTAAAACGCTTTTCTCAAATTGCAATGTCGTATGTCCAACCACCATTTATATTATAAATGTAGCAAAGCTATTTATGGCAAATACTAGATATCAACCTAGTCTAGATATGAACCTCGTTGTAGGCATCATATCAAGAAGATACAATTAGAAGACTCTAGATGTCGCCCCGTCAGAAGAAGTTAAATACAGCGGAAATGGACGACACGCCATTTCTTTAAATGAAATTAACTGCTGCTATATGTATGTATGTATATATATATGTTTATACTTAACGTGAGCAAACAGTTTGCTTACATTTTGCAAAATTTTGTGCAGACAAGACTAAAAAGTATATAGTAAATAAAAAATTAAATTTTTTAATATACAACGCTTTTATAAATGGACTAAAAAATATAAAATAATATTTCTTAGTCCCATAGAATTTGTATAGATGAGTTTTGATTTTGAAATTTTAGCAGAAGTCATCATAAACCATTTATGGGATTGAAAATGAAAAGCGTGGGGCTAACTTGACTTGCTAAAATTTCAAAATCAAAACTCATCTATACAAATTCTATGGGACTAAGAAATATTACTTTCTAATTTTTAGTCCATTTATAAAAGCGTTGTATATTAAACAATTTAATTTTTTTATTTATTTTCTACTTTTTAGTCTTGTCTGTACAAAATTTTGCCATAGATATTAAAATAATTCAAGAATGATAGAAAACAAGATTGCGCCAATCGAGCTGAGGGCAACTGGCGCAGCTTATCATACGCCAGTAGTCGGATAAGGCCAATGTAAACCAAGGCCGCAACGGGTAGAGACCTCGACGCAGACGCAATTTATGTACGAGCAACAGATTAGAGACTTACAAGTAAGTTAGAAGTAGAAGTGCATTTGAAGACGTTTACATTATTATGTTTACGCATTTCTTACAGGCTATGGTGCAACAATTGACGTATGCCAAAGAAAGGAATTTATGATGGTCACAAATATATTGGCAAAAACATAGCAAGTGCATATGCCAAGTTGGAAAAATTGACAATGCGTGAGTATAAAATGAATAGGTGTTCTTAATTATAAATATTACTTTACCTCTTCTTTTGCAGTGGCTAAAAAGAAGAGTCTTTTCGATGATCGACCGCAATAGGTTCAAGAATTGACTTACATCATGGTGTATGCGTTACAATCTAAATTAGCCAGCATGGGCACCGACTTCAAACAGATACTAGAACATAAACTCCCGCTGAGTTCAATGTAACTGATTTGGGTAAACTGTTGTTTGTGTACATTCCCATTTGTTTATACATTACTTATGTGCACATGACAATTAAAGTAAAAAGGGCGATGTGCTTATGCTA